AAGTTAAACCCCAGAAAGACTTGTTGCTTGTTAGCAGTCCTTAGAAACTTTGACCTAAAACCTTATAAAATTCTGCTTGATTAAAAGCAGAACTCACAATATACTCAAGGGGTGTCTGTCATAGGAAAACAGGTAAAATGTGTTACGTCAATAATTTAATAGGAAAATAAATATCCAACCACCAATAAGAAAGTTATTGATTTTTTTTATAACAATGATTTATTACAAAAAAATTACAATACTACAAAGTATCAATAGTTTTTTGGAATAAACAAATTTAATAACCAAAAATCCTTCAAAAACAATTTATAAGTTAGACTCAAAACATTTATATTTGCAAAAACCTAATTAACTGAAAGTCCAAAATTGCCCGTTATTTTTATTTTAAATAATAAAGGAGTTCTGTGTCCTCCAAACTCAAAACAAGGTCCTGGAAGTGTTTCTCCATTTAAGTCTAAAATCCCATTCTGAAATAAAAAAAATCCAAACGTCAAACCGCCTCTAAAACCAGATAAGCAAAAAGAGTGGTACCACCAAAAATCCCCAAAAAGAAAACTAAAGTCCAGATCACGATGGGAGCGTATTTCTTTCCCCTTAGCGGCGTCTTCTTCCACCGGATGCAGTGCGCTCTGCGCTGGGACAAACTTTTATTGCTGTTTTATCGCCTTTCTTTTAGTTTTATCTAGTTTTAAACATTCAACCAAACAAAAATCTCCCACTGCACAGATATGACGGTGTGCATCTTCCTAACCGGTCAAACTAATTTTCTCAACACCAAAAAAAAAAACAACAAAAAAAACAGTATTCTAATACCCAACATCAGTTTTAACCAGAGAGATTTGAAATGATATTAACAATGCAATAACAACTGTTCTACCAAACAGGAAAAGAAAACAACATAGTGGTTATGTTACAACCTGAAAATGCATCGATTTAAAAAAAAAATAAAATAAAATTCACCTTCACCTATATTTATTTGAAATTGACATTCTAATGCATACGTAACTTCAGCATAATGATCTTTACCTGACTTTCGTATCTTAACTTTAGGCAGAAGAGCTGATGAGGAGGATCGGCGTCGAAGGGGTCAAACTGACAGAGTACGAGATGAACATTGCATCTCTCTTAGTCGATCCCCAAACTATCAAGGTAACATCGTCCTTCTGTTTGAATAACATAGAGATTATTAAAAGCTATGTAATTCTCCATCTTTTTGGATGACTGTTCTCTCCCTGACTCTGCTTTCTTCTAGGTGTCCTGGAGAGATATAGCAGGTCTGGATGACATTATTAACGAGCTGCAGGACACCGTTATACTACCCTTTCAGAAAAGACACCTTTTACCTGAATCTAAACTCTTCCAGCCTCCTAAAGGTACGCAGCTGTGGATTTCACGCAATATTAGAAGGTCTTTTATGAAACCTTATACTGAAGATAGATATATTATTTATTTTATACTCTGTTTGCATCCAAGAAGTACAAATCCTATTCTAAATGTCCTAAATACAGTAACAAACAATCAATTTCTGTGTAGAAATTAAGGTTTATATTTATTTATCTATATATGCTTTATGCCTTTTCACTCCAGTCTAATAAGTTTTTGCTTTAGAGTCTTGCACAGTAGTTGTTCTCATCTGGTCTCATTTGGAGGATCCCCTTCAGAGATGTTAGAGCCCACCTCCCACATGATAGTTTAATAAATCTTTCACAAAATGGTTGCACTTTTTCCTAATTCCAAAATGAGTAAATTTTTGTCCAAGGAAAAAAGTCTGCAATTCCAACAGATTAGTGGCATTTTGCTTTGGGACAAATTCTGATCAAATTGGTCACATGCTAACAATTGTTGACAAGCTGCAACTCAAATCGAGTACATTTTAAAATTTATTGAATGAGAGTCCAAATATGTTGACGGAATATTACAGTAAGTTTGGATGTAAACCGCTGACAGAAGGTGGTGCTACATGATAAAGATAAAAAGATAAAAAAAAAAAAAAAAAAGATAATTAACTGTCTAGATTGATGTACTGCTATGGAGGACCAGCTCTGACATATTTAAAAATAAATACAGAAATAAATAAATGCTCAATAAATAAATAAGCATACAATTAATTGCCACCAAAAATACAATAAAGAGATAAATGTAGGTAAAAATTAGATTATACAGTGAGACAGAAATGTTTATACACTGTCTGGCCCAAAAAAAAAGTCGCCACCTGGATTAAACTAAGCAAATACAGTAGGTACAAGCCTCCTATTGGATAATTACTGCAGGAGCGATTATCTTTCAGCTGGCAACAAGTTATTTAACCCCAACTGGTGCAATGACTTGCTTTTCATTTCCTAAACAACCATGTCGAGAGACACATCCCGTGGTCGTGGAAAAGATGTTAGTCTGTTTGAGAAGGGTCAAATCATTGGC